TTCAAAATGAAAGCCTTATTGTCATTACAGGTACCTGTGGCTAAATGAGAATGGAAAGTCCAGTGGCTGCACTACTCTAGATTGTAAATACCTGCCAAAAAATCAACACGATGAATTACTAGTAGTATTACTGAAGCTGCAAATGGCTTAGCACAATGACTAAGAAATTAATCAAGGGTTAAAAAGCATAATGTTTTTATAGTATAAGAAAACAAACCACATTCTGATTTAAAATAAAGCAATATATTTTATATGTTATTAGATATGAAATATCTTTCATTTACTTCTATTTTATTTTTTTTATTTTTTTCATTTCTTTATTGCCTTTATAAGATCAGTCTCTGTGCTGCAAAAATCTGAGCATTCACTACATGGCAGCAAGAAATAAAGGAACACTCAGAATCTACACTGCCATATAGTGATAAAAATAATTTTTGCAGCTCAAATGCAATAACCCTTTTAAAACCTCCACATGCATTTGCACACAAATAGAGCACCAATACAATACTTTTGCCAAGTTGCAATCCTACTTGCAGGTAGAGAAGAGATGGGAGATTATTAACATTACTGTTGTACAAATTATGCTGAGGTCATGAGAAAGACCTCCCTTAGAAGAGAAAAAATGGGTTGAAATAAGACTAGACTTTAGACAGAAAAAAGAGAATAGAGAATGGGAGGAAGCATGCCTCATAGCTAGAACCCTGGAGAGAAAGGGATTTGGGAATGGAAGAAGTTGGTTGATACAAAATCTGCAGGCATTTAAATAAAGGCTGTATGGCAGAACTTATTGGAACTGCTGATGAAACTGTATTCTACAGAGCCCAAAGGCACCATGAGAACCCAATGGGATTAAGTGAGAGACTAAGAGCAAAAAAAAAAAAAAAAGATCACTTGAACACAACTAAATTTTAATCTCTAGAGTAGGGATGTCAAACTTTAGACCTGTGGGGCTGCCTTGGAAATAGTGAAGGACTGGCCCGCACTGCCTCCCGGGCTGTTTTCACTGGCAGAGAGGGTGCAGGAAGCTGTCTCAGCTGAAAACGGAGCTCGGGAGCCCGTTTTTGCTGGCAGAGTACTCAGCCTACCACAGGCACCCCCAATATGAGTGACATTAAGCTGGCCACACCCACCCAAACACAACCCTGATGCAGTTTGATAGTTTGATAGCCCTGCTGTACAGTTTTTCTTCTTGATCAAGACTTCCAGGAATTTTTAATTTATTATTTTGTTTTTACTAATAAGTTTGAAAACGCCTTTTCTGGATCAGTATTTCTCTAACATATTAACTTTAAGACATGTAAATTTCAATTTCCAGCATTCCCAGCTGGAGGGAAAAAATTCTGGGAAGTTAAGTCCAGGTCTTAAAAGTTGCCACGTTTGATAAATACTGTTCTAGATCAGGGCTGTCAAAGTCGCAGCCCGTGGGCCACATGCGTCACATGCTGGCCACGTCCACACCCGGTTTAGCGAAGGGGGGAAAAGGTCACAATACGTCACATGACAACACGAGTTTGATACCCATTCTAGATAATCCATTTCCTCTACGATCATCTGTAGATGATCTCCATTCGGTTTTTCAAAAAAGATTAGAGACCAGAAGAAAAATTTGAAAAGTCAAATCAAGAGATGATTTCTTCAAGACAGGGCTCACCACTGTCTCTTTCAGATATGGAGCCAAAACATCTCTGCCAAACTCACATTAACTAACATTATTATTCCTAAAACCAGGTGCACAAACCCTGCCTGGTAATGCAGGATTTGGATCTAGCCTGCAGGTGGCAGACTTATGTTACAGAGAACCCCAGCTTCCACCTTCCTCATCTCACTTGATCTTTCAAGAAAATGCTTAGAATCATCCCTACACCTAAAGGTTCCTTCTTATCCCCACCCAACCTTTCTAAGTGTGCAGGTCATCGTGAATATGCTGGACTCTGCAGATCCAGTGAACCTGACGTAGACTTTCCCCATCTTATCACTGATCCATAAGACTCCTTTCTAGTGAAAAATCATGTTCAGTTGAGATGCAGTTTAAGAAAGGAGCAAATCAAGTAACATGATCAGCAAAATATGTCCATGAGGCCACTAAGCATTCACTTCAAGCTGAAGGAGACTGTTTTAGTGTTTCATTTCCGCTCTGTCAGGATTCCGGCAGTGACTCCAATTAAATCATGAGCCTCGAGCCACACTCCCAAAACTAAAAAAGATTTATTTGAAGGTAACATTCTACATCCGGCATTTACCTGGGCATAGCCAACTCTGAGATACATAATTCACTGTCACCCTTGATCCTGCTTTCCCCCCCCACCTCTCTGGGTGTATCACCCAATGAAAAACGTCCATAGCCAAGAGTCAACAATCATGCTCTCCAATTTTTGTGAGGCAGAAGCTTCAGTCAACTAATCAGTCTCTGAAGAAAATATGAATGGATTCCACACTGCTGCCTGCTCTTTGAAACTCCCCCCCCCTTCTTTCTGTTGTCAACTATAAAACTTGTATACAAAATGTTTTATGAGTTGACACTCTCTTTTGATCTTCCATTTTTAAATGTGCAGAATGAAAATACTGGCTGGAAAATATCGCAGCAATTCTTTGCCTTTCAGAATTTATTACGCTTAGTGTTAATCAACAAGACACAAGAGTTATATAAAGCTCCTTCATATGTATCTTCATGTTTCTGAATATAGCCCAGATTTTTATATTTACAGGCACAGCTCTCACGTATCAAGCATGTTAAGTCCCATCAAGCATGACATTTTGCCTCTCAGCAGCATTCTTTCTACTTTATTTCCAGCCAAAATTCTTGCTTTCCTTTGAGGCTTGGAAGTTATTCAGGGTACATTACCTATCAAATAAAGAATGCAATAAAAGAAGCCTCTAGCAAAGATTAACCACAGGTTAAAATGTTTACCGGAGTGTAGCTCAGTTGGGATCAGTCAGTTAATTGCACAGCTGCACACCAATAGCACTTAGACTTATATAGTGCTTTACAGCTCTCTCTAAGCTGTTTACAGTCAGCATATTGACCCCAACAATGTGGGTCCTCATTTTACTGACCTCAGGAGGCTGAGTCAATCCTGACATGATCAGAATTGAACTCCTGGCAGTGGGCAGTTAACCTGCAATACTGCATTTTAACTACTGCACCACCATAGCTCCTTTCTCCATAAGAGAAAATGAGTGGCTTATTTCTTATCATAAATTGCTAAAATGCCAGCTGACAGCAAGAGAAAGTTCTTACAATATGAAGCGCTGTGGAGAAGGGGATTTTCAGCAAACCCAACTTGCCTACTGCTTTTTGACGTGAGCCTTTTTAATAAGTGCCCAACTCCCATTTTTATGGAACTCTGAGGGTTGCACAGGTGATTTGGACAATATTTCTGCAGGGCTCAATGAAGAAGGTATGCAAGCTTTTATCTTGACAACTGGCTGGAGCAGATATAAAAAGCAGGGAAAGAAGAGAAATATTCTTATCCAGAATCCTCCTTTTTGATGTAGAGTGTATTGAAAAGATTGAAGATTTTGTTTTGTTTTGTTTTGTTTCTTCTCAATCCAACAAAACATTAGAAAGAAATTATGTAAAGAAGGGTTAGGAGAAAAACATTCCCTTCCCCAAAAAATTTTTTTCCCTGAATCCCTGTGGGCAGGGGCTGGAACACTGCTGATTACTTCATTTTAAGACCAATTACCTCCTTTGACCCAGGACACAGCTTGAGCAACCTCTCTTGTTCCTTTCAATGCACACAAGCAGGCATCTATTACGTGGCACCCAAGAGGAAAGCAGAAAGACTCACATGCACACACATTTCTTCCTGGTACAGAAGAAAATTCTGATGTCTTCCTTAACTACTGCTAGTAAACAGGTTGGACAGAACTTAGGAACTCAAGCTTTGGGGCTTTCCCTGGGCGTTGAACTCCACACATCTTAAGCTTGATATACACTGTTTTAGTCAACTCCACTAGGTGGCATTGCAGCCATTTTAAATTGAGACCAGCTGCCTTCATTCAGGCAGTCTCTCCCCCCCCCCCCCCCCCCCCCCTTTAAAAAGAGATCACCCTGCCATTACATTGAAACTGGGCATTTCACAGTGCTAAGATCTCAAAAGGCAAGTCAGCACCTGACCGATCCAGCCTCCCTTCCAAATGCACTTCTAACCTTTTAGGGTGAGGGTTTAGTTCAGGAGGATGTTTTGCGTTCCCAAATGCATGCCGATTTTTTTTTCACAACCATGGTTGTTTTTTTTCAAAACGCAACCCACGTTCTTCTTGCATTTTGTAGGGCAAAATAATACGAAGTTTGGGGCAACTTCTGGAGACAATTGCAGGAAATTAGCCTTCCACTAGAATGCATTTCTACCTGCCTTGCAGCTGTTGTTAGAGACGAGGGAAGGCGCGAGAATTGGGCAACTTTCAAACGTGAGCAAAAACTCCTATGTGCAAACGTAAGAAAACCTGGGGTCGTGAAAGAGAACAGTGATTTCCATTAATTTACAGCTTGAGATTCCCCTTCCTTCCCCTGCAAGAACGGCTTTGCAACGCAAAAGGAATTTCCCCACTCTCCGCCCTGCTGGAGTGACCCAGCATCTTTCCCAAACCGAAAAGAAATTGCAACCAATCAAGGGGATTCCCAAAAGAGGGGAGTTTTGAGGAATTGCAAGCTTTTGCTCACCCTCACCTCAATCCGTGCAAATCCGCAAGGAATCGCACACAGAGGAAAGGCAAGAAGCGCAGAAAGGCACGGAGGAGGGGAACGGCCTCCATCACGTCGAGTTGTACAATCAAAAGAACTTTCCCTTCTGTAGTAAAAAAGGAAGGAAAAAATTCCAGAGAATGACCGAGGGAGGGAATTCCTCAGCCAGGGCACCCTTTGCTCCGCCACAGCAGCCTTTCCAAGCAGGACCAGACTAGTTTGAAGCCTCGCCTTCCACTTGGCTGGGAAATTCCCAACCGCCCAAGCTCCGCCCCGCAGAAAAAATCCCCTTTGCCGAAGCTCTATAGGCAAGCGCTGCCTCCGCCCGCCAGAACCTCCCGAGAGAAGTTTGCAACTACTACTAGTTGAAGCGGAGAGCGCGAGCGCCGGACTGAAAGCGTTTTGCGCGCACTCGGCCAAGGTCATGCTGAGTCCCAGTACTTTGGATTACCCGATGGATTTTACGATGGACGTGCACCCCCGGGAAGTGTTGAAGAAGGACAGGCAGCTCAGCCTGATCCAGGACGACAGACACGACAGCGGCTTAGGCTCCATGAAAGACGACGACTACGAAAACCTCGTCCGGGAATTGGAAGATATTCGACTCCAGCCTGTGGAAGCCGACCCGGGGGCCTTAGCCCAGGCGTGGAAGCAGCAAGTGACTGAAGATGGAGACACGTAAGTCTTGGGATGCGGGTTGCAAATGCGGGCCGGGCAGGGGATATGGGGTCGGTGGAAAGCGAGAGCCCTCTTTCTCTCGGTTCGCGTTGCTGTTGGATTCCGTGCATAGCGCAAAAAGTGCATCCCGTGGATGTTCACACTTGACGGTCGCAAATCTAAGCCTGCCTTGGGTGAGGGGAGAAAGCGAAGTGGAAAGCGGCGTAAAGGGGTACTTCTGAGTGGCCGTGGACGAGACTCGGCTCAAGTTAAAGTGGTTCTTTGATCTTCCTCGCCGCCACCACTTCAGATTTCAAAGTCCATTTTAGAAATGTAGCGGAGGGGGGGGGGGAATCGTCAAGGAAAAGGCTGGGCGAGGGGACTTTGTTAAGCCACGGGCGGCAGATGGGCAATCGTAGATGAAATGGGATCCCTTGAGGATATATGTATACCCCTTGGAAAGTAAACGGATGTGGGTCTAGTTGTTTGGTTGGTTTCGGAAGGCAGGCAGCCGAGTATCTGAGCGCCGGCGCCTTTAATTTTAAAAAATAATTTCAAACCTAGGTTGACATCCGAGCCGTTGTAGTCCGAGTCACCTTTTGGGGTTTCCTGTCATTGCATCGGGATTGGGGGGGGAAAGGGAGTTGGAATTTCCGCGTTGATCCTTCGAAACGAAGGAAGCGGAGGGCCGTTGGGAAGAATGGTTCCTTTGATGCCCCCTCCTTTTTTTTTTGTTAGTTACCTAAAAGGAAAAAAAAATCCCGGGGTTTTTTGCAAAACTGGGTTTTCCCCTCCCACGTCGCATGCTTGTACTTGGCAGGTGGCCAGGTTGTGGAACTTGGTGTACTGGCGGTGAGAGGGAGGAGCCTTCGCAAGGCGCCGGGCGGGGTGCTGGGTTGAAATGCGCTGGAAAGTCCCTGGCGCCTTGCCCGGAACATTCAGCTCCTCCACGGAAAATACCAGGCTGCAGCAACGCGCGGCCCTGAAAACCCCAGGCTTTCGAAATCGCCTTCTTTCCCCCTATGACTCCAGCAGGCACGTAGCCCACGTGATGAAGAGAACTAACTTATTCTGGAATATTTTTTTTTGGCTCATCGTTGGGTTTTTCCCACTGTTTTCCTATTACAGATTTCTCCATCTGGCTATTATTCATGAAGAAAAATCCTTAAGTTTGGAAATCATTCACCAAGCAGGACGGGATGCGGCTTTCTTGAATTTCCAGAACAATCTCAACCAGGTACTTTCTTCTTTGCATTTTTAATTTTTGTTTGACCTGGGAGGGGTCAGACATGGTGCTGTAGGCCAGGGGTCTCCAACCATGGCAACTTTAAGCCTGGAGGACTTCAACTCCCAGAATTCCCCAGGCTTACAGTTGCCATGGTTGGAGACCCCTGGCTTCTAGGCAACATGGAGACAGTTTCAAATACACTTTTAAAACAATAGATGAAAGAAAGGCACATTAACAGAAAACCGTGCAAAATAGTATAAATACAAAATTACATCTTATCTTATTGAGTGTCAAAGAGCAAATATATTTTCTTACACTTGTTTGCCCATTGCCGAGAATAATTTATTTAAGAATATTTAAGGGTCCTTGGATTTTACTAGCCTGACTTAGAAGTGGCTTTCGATGGTTAGTGGCAAAAATGATTATTGGCCTGAGGGTTCTGGCTTTTCTTACACCACTAATGTCATATTTTCACAAACATTTGGAAAGAAAGGCTTTCAAAAGCAAGGAAGTAGGACACCAGTTGGGTTCATCAGATGTGACTTAGTATGATCCCAGCCAATTCTCAAAATACTAGAGAATGCATTCCATGACCAAAAAAAACCATTGAGAAATATTTTAGGTTCCTTTTCTCAGCCACGCAAGTTCACTGGAAAACTTTAGCCAATCACTGTTTCCCAACTTCACCCATTCTACAAAATTTTCTGACAAAAAGTGCAAGAGTAACATGCAGGCTGCCTTCACTTCCTGGAGAAAAGACAGTCTGTAAATCTAATGAATAAAATAAAGTTGCAATTTTTAAAAAGACTTCTTTAAAACTGCTGATCCTGAATCCATATGCACATGCATGTTCAGGATCAACAGACACACACGTGCACACACACACACACAGAGTGGGAGTAGGATTCACTAACGGAAATAAATAAAGGATTGTATGGCAACATGCATAGCAAAGATTGTGTTGTTTTTCTAGCAGATTGCCTTATTTTGTCACATCCTTTTGTAGACTCCACTCCATTTGGCGGCAATCACAGATCAGCCTGAAATTGCGGAGTCTCTTCTGAAAGCAGGCTGTGATGCAGAAATCAGAGATTTCCGAGGAAACACACCGTTGCACATTGCTTGTGAACAAGGGTCCCTCAGAGGAGTTAATGTTCTTATACAGTATTGCCAGAAGCCCCAGCTCCATTCTCTCCTACAGTCAGCGAACTACAGCGGTAAGTGCAAACATTGGCTGGTTGGTTCACTGCGGCATCATACTGTTGCCTTTTGATTTGCAGTGTTGGCTTGCGTTCTCTTTGAAAGTTATTGTAACAAGTAAGAATTGCATAGTTCCTCTTGCCTCTGGCAAAATGAGTCCCCTTCAGGTTGTTGAGATCACAGTCTGTGCCAGTTAAAAATGCTGAGAATTTCCCTTTGGGACAGGTTCATGTAAAGCATTAGAGGCACAAATGAAGTTTTCTCTCTTGGAATAATAGCATTCAAAGAATAATTTATAATTAAGCCCAACGTATCAAACTACTTCATTCAGACAACCTATGCTAAATACTGAATAGATTATAATATGTATGATTTTCAAAATCACAGCTAATATCTTGGAGCAATTGTTCATCACAGAAAATAATATTTTTCTCTCACTTGTACTTAATAGGTCACACGTGTCTCCACCTGGCTTCTATTCAAGGATACCTGGCCATTGTAGAATGTCTTCTGTCCTTGGGAGCAGATGTCAATGCTCAGGTAGGTTTCTTCTCTGAGGAAAATAAGCAGACCGTCCCATTATTTTGAAAGTAATTCTGATGCCTTTTCCATTGCTAACTACGTTCCCTTTTGTTTTTCACTAAACAGGAGCCATGCAATGGTAGAACTGCTTTGCATTTGGCTGTAGATTTGCAGAACGAAGGATTGGTCTCCCTTTTGTTGAAGCATGGAGCAGATGTGAATAAAGTAACCTACCAGGGCTATTCTCCATACCAGCTCACATGGGGAAGAAATAACTCCTTCATACAGGAACAGTTGAGACAATTTACGACACTGGATTTGCAGATGCTACCAGAAAGTGACGATGAAGAAAGCTGTGAATCAGAATTGGAATATACGGAAGATGAAGTAAGTTGGTGTTCTTTCTGTACAGCTAAATTCCCCTATAATTTTCACATATTTTTCTATGAGGCAAGAAGTATGAAAATGCATTGTCCATTAATAGATTATAATTGCCTTCAGTTCCTTAAGTCACTTTACTAGGCAATTAATTTACAATCTTTAACCTTTGGATACAGAAAAATGTAGAAAATTTTCTGATTCAGTGCACTTGCATCAAGTAAATTGCTATACTAAATTTCTTTTATAAAATGCACATAAATAAGATATTGACAAAAATATTTTGCACGCAATATTGTATTGCTAGTGACCCCGCAAAAGGTACTGATGACGCAGATTATGATGCATGCACACACGCACACACACACAGGGTCCTATGATCGCATATTGGGCACTTGGCAACCTGTCCAAATTTAAGGCCATTCACAGCATCATGTGACCATTATTTATATTTTTTCCTGTGTTTTGCTTCAATTTCCAGCAAACTACCCATTGCAGACAGTGGGTTTGCTTACCAATTGCTGCAAAACAGGTAATAAAATCAGGCGCAGACACATGATTGCTTGTTTCATGATCAACTTAACAACTGTTAATTCCAGGCTCAATTACTGTTGTAGTTGAGAACTACCAAGACCTTCAAAAGCTGAGATCAGAGCTTCTTAATCACTGTTATCCTTAGATTTTAGGAAATTACATTGATGCGAAATATGATGCTAACTTTCTTGTGTGCATTCAGTGAAAGTTAATGGTACATTGGTTTGTGCATTGCGGAAGAAGCATTTTAAACCCATCTTTAAAGGAATCCGTAAACTGATTTTTTTTTTAAAATTTCCCTTGTCTAGCTTCTCTATGATGACTGCATTATTGGCGGGCGGCACGTGTCTTGTTAGAGGAGGAGGATTGTTAAAAGACTGCAAGTACAACTGTATGAACAGTTACAGAACTACAGTAGTCACCTCAAAAACATGGTGAAAACAGCAAGATGCCAAAAGTGGTCGAGTTCAGATATCCTTGTGCGACATTGGTGTAGTAGATATCAGCATGGTCTCAGAAGAATTGAGAACTGCAGTGAACTACCTCTGTGTTCACTCTACACAGTACAACAGGACTGGCTAGATCCATCATCTCTTGTGACTTTTTGGAAGACATTCCATATATTTCTGCTTGACTGATAACCTGTTCCAAGGACTGAGAGTAGGAACTCTTCGTTATGAATAGAAGAATTTTGGCAATCCTCAGATTGATTGGTTGATCATTTAGTAAAAGAATAGGAACGATGTACAACAGGGGTGTCAAACTCAAGGCCCACGGGGTGCTTAATTCTGGCCCATGTGGCTTGCTTGGAAATAGCAAAAGAGCGGCCCATGGTGCCTCTGGCAGCCAAAATGAGGCACAGGGGCCCTCCCGTGTCCCGTTTTGGCTGGCAAAGTGTTGCAGGACGCCGTCCAGGCTGAAAATGGGTTGCAGGGGGATCCAGCCCTTGAAGAAATCCAATTTGATATCCTTGACATGCAGGCTGTCTATTGCAAGCCCTATACTTTGTAATATGTATATCATGTATACTTTGTAAATTTTGTGAATAGTTTTCTTACTTGTGAGATGCATATTTATTAAAAAAATGAAAAATGGTTCTGGCTCTGAATCTCTTTTGCTGAAAAAAATTCACTTCAAATGAAATCAAGCAGCTGATGAAACTCAATTCACTTAAGTATACTATTTCCCTATAGAAGGTTTTTTAAAAGGTAAAAGTCCCTGCAGATGTTACTGCATTGCAGGCTATAGGAGCAGTGCTCATCTCCATTTCAAGATCATTTAAGCCAGTGGTTCCCAAAGTGGGCAGTACTGCCATTGGGGTGGTGGTGGGATGCCTTGGCGGGGGTGCTAAGAGGCAGCAGGGGGTGTTCAAGGTGCCTGTCCTGCAGGCTCACCCATTGACTGCTGTACTGCTCTGGAGCTGGCACCTTGAACGCCCCCCTGCTGCCTCTTAGCATCCCCAAGGGGGCCGGCAGAGGGGTGCTAAAAGGCGGCAGAGGGCCGTTCGAGACGCCGGCCCTGTAGGCCCATCGACGTACCGCACTGGAGCCAGCGCCTCGAATGCGGCAGCACGTTGGGAAAAGCCGCCCCCACCACTTTCTCAAAGTGCCACCACTGTCGCATTGTCCGTCCGTCTATCCATCCAAAAGGTCTGCCTGCCTACCTAACACCCTGCCTGTCTTTCTGTCTAGCTATCTACCAATATATCTAGCTACCTATCCATCCAAAAGTTCTGTCTGTCTGCCTGCCTGCCTCCCTACCTATCTCCATACATTCATCCAAAAGGTCTGCCTGTCTGCCTACCTACCTATCTACCAATATATCTACCTATCTACCTACCTATCCATCCAAAAGTTCTGTCTTCCTGCCTGCTTGCCTTCCTGCCTACCTACCTACCTACCCACCTACCCATACATTCATCCAAAAGGTCTGCCTGCCTGCCCACCTACCTACCTTCTTACCTATATCTATCTACCAATATATCTATCTACCTACCTAACCTGTCTGTCTATCCATCTAACCATCCATGTTCGAAGCACCAGCCCCGCAGGCACATTGGGAAAGTAGAGCGAAGCCAGTCTGGGAGGGAGGGAGGGAGAGAGAGAGAGAGAGAAACTTGATGCATCAAATTGAAATGAGGCCTAGTTTAGACTGAGGCCCTTTTCCACACTGAAACATCTTTGTCAGCACATTGAAACCTCTTTGGCTTCTATTAAAGGTTTTGTGGATGAAACATAATCAAGACTATCAGGAAGCTCTCACATTTTGTTGAGGCTTTAAACAGGATCCATTGGACCAGACCTCCACCCTAAAAATTACTTTTCCCCAATGTATTACAGTGCCAATTCTGTAGAAGGCAAAACCAAAATGTACTGGTAAATTACAAGGAGAACACACACAAACACTCCCTTCTAACCCTGCTGGAGCAGGTGATTGGACTAGAATAGATATCATCTTTCTCCTCCCTCCCCGCTTCTTTATTTCTTTCTGTCCCTTCCATCCCCCCTTCTTTGTCCCCTTTTCTTTATTTCCCTTTTCTCTTTCCTCTCTTTTCTCTCTCTTTCCCTCTCTCAGGCTCACTCCATTGACCTGGTGCACTGCTCTGCTCGGACTTGCTTGGGCTGGTCCTTCCAGTGCAGCGGGCTCAATAGGGTGGACCTGCGGGGCCGGCACCTAGAACACGGCAGTGGCGTCACGTTTGAAAAGTAGAGCAAAGCCAGAGTTCGGTAATTTTTGCTGCAAAGAATCACAAAAGCTTCTGGGTTGTGCACAAGAAGGGACGCACATGTCAATGCAATTCAGCAACATAAAATAAAGAAATACAAATAAAAATCAACAAGAATTGGCAAAGCATCTCTGATTAGATTTTATTCACTACTAGAATCTAATCAAAAATGTTTTGCCGATTCTAGTCCAATGACCTGCTCCAGCAGGGTTGGAAGGGAGTGTGTGTGTATATGTGTGCATGGCTGTCAAAACTCCAAAAACAGGTCAACTGGAAAGACCAGTCATAAATTAGAACACTTGCTAAACAACTGGCCATTAACTGGCCACTTGTATTTGGTTTGCCAGTCATCTGGCCACGTCCACCAAATCACATGATCACCAAACCACACCTACCCAGTCACGTGACCAGCAAGCCATGCCCTCAAATTAGGCCACACCCATAGAAATTTGAATCCCAACCCTGGGAGGAGGGCACTGAGGATGAATTTGTAGCACCAAGGGGGCGGTGGACTGAAAATGTTTGGGAACCACTGATTTAAGCACTGCTGTCTGAAGACATTTCCTCACTCATGGCTACATGACATCACAGAGCACTGTTACCTTCCTGCCGAAGTGGTACTTATGTATTCATATTTGCATACTTTTTGTTGCATTGTGGGAAAAGAGACTCGAGACCCAGTTGACTTTTTCTCTTTTTATTTTCTTTCTAGTAACTGTGCGCGGAGAAACCGCGGCAGCCTTTTTTATAGCCGGCTGCTCGCGGCTCGTGGCCAATGACGGCTCTTCAAATCTCCCGCCGCTACGGACCAACCTATCATAGGTAAGTATGCAAATATATAACACTTTCGAATAGTATGTTGGCAGGAGCTGAGGCGAGGACGAGAGCTCACACCTTTGGTGCTCAGGTCTCGAACATGGGCTGCCAGCTTTCCAAATGACAAGCTCAGTGTCTTAACTAGTCAGCACCACACCACCCCTCTCCCTATAGAAGGGAATCAATTATTCCAGGTAGAGATTGGAGGAGGGACGGGTCGCTATGAATACAGGTGTAGTTCTTGACTTACAACTAATCACTTAGTGACCAAAGTTATGACAGACCTCCCCCAAGATTACTTACAACCCAGCTTGGATGATAGCCCCCCCCCCCCCAAGGGTCATGATAGGTGTTCAGCAATTGGTCTGCATTTACAGCGATTTGCAGTATCCCACAGTCACATGACTATTTTAAAACATTTTTGTGGGAAATTGGCATTTCCAGTTTTCAGCAAAAGCAGCCCATTGTGAACAAAGGGTTCACTTTAATGACCATTGCAAAAAAAGGATAAAATCACATTGAGTTACACACTTTACAATTATCACAACTTTATGATCATAATGGATGTTAGCATTCCAGAAAAATCTAGCTCCAATTAAAAACTCCAAGACAGGCATTTTCTCAAAGTTTTGTTTTATTAGAGTAGTTATACTGGCACATCTGGGAAAATCCAAATCTGAAAGTTCCGGGTCTTCCTCCAATAAGTAAAAAATTACAAATCCATCCCCTGCACCCATCATTCCATCACATGCCCCAATCACCATCCGTTCCAACTTGAGACATCCCTTCTACTACTACTCAGCCAGGTGCAGGAATAACATGATCTTGACTTTAAAGAAGAATGCTATTATGTCTAACCACATATGCTCCATGAAATCCCCCCTCCTCTAAAACCAAGATATACACCTTCAGGGCTGAATCTGCACAGTTGATTCTATCGCTCCCTGATCTGTATGTGGCTCAATCAGGTTCTCAAATACTGTATAAGTAAAAATGTTTGCATATTATACCAGTCATATTGAACGTCAAAACACATGCTGGATGAATATAGTGTGTGAATGAAATAATAGTCGCCATGTAGCTCTTTAGGCTAAGCAACCAAGTTGACTATGATATCTATAGCCAATCATGATAACTGAAAACGCAAATGATCTGCAAGATTCTCTAGCACTGAGAATCAAGAAGTCCAGTGGGGAGAAAAAAGTGGACTTCAATTAAATATAAAGGATCAAACTAATGACAAAAGGAACAACAACCGGTGTTAGAAATTACAATAAAATTCTGAACAGGTGGATAGCTTTTGCCTTTTAAGAACAATTATTAATAGTAAAAGAACTAGCAGTCAAGAACTACACCACAGACTGGCCCTTAGTAGTTTAGCATTAAAGGCTTTGAAAGAGATAGATAAATCCCTACCAAGATCAGAATTATGCAGGAATAGTCCCCCGCTCCCATCCTGTGACTCTCTAAGGCAGGGGTCCCCCAAATCTATCTTTCATTTCCTTAGAGCAGAGGTCTCCAAACTTGACAACTTTAAGACTTGTGGACTTCAACTACCAGAATTCTCCAGCCAGCTATGCTGGGAGTTGAAGTCCACAAGTCTTGCTTGGTGGGGACAGATTATTCTGAGAAGGTCTGTCTACACAGTCACTAAGAGTCTGCACCAACTCGACAGCATATTATCAGTCAGCCTGGTGATGAAAGCTTAGAAACTTTCCTGGGACTTTTGTCAACTTCATTCCAAAGCACAAGAAGAGACCATGCCTGTACATCATGTTAATATGACACTTGGTCATGTCTGAAGTTTCAGTGGGTTAATTACCTCTGATTTTCTGAGTAGAGAAAAAATGGTAGGCACTTATATTGAATAATTGTTCTTTCAGGCATGCAGCAAATTAATACTGTCTTGAGTCACCCCGTGCAGTTAGTACTAATAACCAATTCCACTAGTTTATCTTTTATGCCACACATTTTGCTTACTGTGTTTAACTTTCTTACAAATTATATACTCAACTTTCTTAGTTATACTATAGAATTTCCCTGTTCACTTCAATAATGGATCCTTCTCTATGTAGGATGAACAAATGGAGAGTTTAGATCTTATTAAGTTAACATCTTGGTTTCTTTCATTACATAGTCACTGTAACTTTTATAAAATATATAATCAGAGTTTCTATCTAGTATGATTTTTCAAATGAATGCTTAATCCAAAATCATCATATGTGGAACATTTGCCCTGTATTGCCTTTTTATAGTTCTGAGTAAGGTCCTTGAACCTTAGCCATCATAGTTTTGAAAGAAGGAAACTCAAATCAGGAGATATCAGTCCTTGCTGCCTTGCATTCAAAGTTGCTTCTTTGGAAATTATTATAGATGGTGTCATACTGAGTCAGGGTTATTCCCATTCCTTCCATGCATTTGTCAGCATGATCAAAGGTCATGCTTTAAAACTTCCTGGTAGTATGAAAAAAAAGTGTGGTATTCATAATGTAATCTGCAGTTTAAATTTGAATTCAGTCTTAGAAAATAAAAAACCTGCACTTT